TTTGAAAGGAATATTTTGACATATACGGGGTTTGAATGTTATCTATATGTTCATTCTTTCGCCATTTATTTTTATTTTTTATTTTCACAATTCTTTTTATTTAATAGCTGTTTGCTTTTATATTATTCGAAAAGGCAGCTTTTTTGTTGTTCGAGTTAAGTATATTTCACTTTCTTTTCATTTCGTATGTCTGTTGGAATGAGTTTGTTACTCCCCTACTAGAATGGAAGACATCCATTGTTCTTTCTCGAGTTGAATTCTTTTTTTTTTTTTTTTTCTTTCTTTCTTTTTTTACTTCTCTTCCACCTCCTCTCTCTATATTTATTTTCTTTCTTGTCTTTCTATTGAAGGTAGTCAGCAACAACCAGACTATTGATAGTATTCAATGGCTTCTCTTTCATTATTATTTCTAAACGAACAAAAAAAAAAAAATGTTATTATCTATTGTAAAAGATTTCTAGAAATTTGCGAGCTTTAAATTAAAATTCATTTCAATTCATTGACTACTACAATAAAAAAAAAAAAAAATTCCTATTGATTCGTGGTAATTTTTTTAATAATAATAATAATATTCATATAAATCATAAAATTATTTCTTTTTTTTTTTTTTTTTTAAATATAGATATAATTACATTGTATTGTAGTCAAAAAAAAAAAAAAAAAGATATAAAATATAGTAAAAAGAAAAAACCATGAAAGGCTTGTTTTACAACAACAACAACAACAAAATTTATCATTTTTTTTTTTTTTTTTTTAAATGAGCCACTTGTGTAATATTTTCTTTACTTCTCGATCAAAATCTATAAAAAAAAATTATTTCCGGTAAAACAGTCTGTCTTTTATTAATTTATTTATTTTTTTTCTATAATAATAATACGTAACAAAAGCAAATTTAATTTTGTTTAAAAAGAAATCAAAAAAAAAAAAAAATGGAAATGGAAATTTTAATTGAAAAATAAAGAAATTCAATAGAAAAGTAAAAAAAAAAAAAAAATAAACGGTATATGAAATAAATATAACAAAAAAAAAAGAGAAAAAGAAAAAAAAAGAAGATTGAATGGCTGAACGATCCAAATGTATAGAGTAGTGTTTGATTACTTTCCCTCCGCTCCACTAGTCTCTTTGTAGTAGTCTCAAATACTTTCATTTTCCATGTTCTTTTGTCGCTGTTGTGTGTGTGTGTGTGTGTCAAACTTTCCCGGGAAATAGGAAGAAGAAAGGGTATTGGTTCTGAATGAATATCAACTTGTTGTGTAAAAAAAAACAACATTATTTTGATTATTATCATAAGGTAAACATGAGATAAAAATATTTCATTGTTGTATTCATAATAGATGGCTTTTCAGAATATCTTTTGTTGTCTCAAATGCACCAGGACAGATAGGAATGGATAGATTTGTTTCTTTACATATATATATACGCACCGTAAAATGTATAAAAAATCGAAATCCCAAACAAGAGAGCTTTTATCCGCACCATACATTTTATAAAAGCGATCGTTTTTTTTTTTTTTTTCTTACTGTTAAAAATGATTTTTCATTTTATTTTTTTCTCGAGGGTTCTTCTTGTAACGTATTTTCCGTCAGATTATGGTTATTTTGTCGAATGACCAAACCTCAGGAATTTTTCTTATAAAAAAAAACATTTTCCTTATAAATAAACTGCTGTTCACTGTTACTTCTTTGAAAATGAGATATTTTTACTGTTTTGTTTTCGAATTAATGAAAAATTGTTATTATTATTATTATTAAATCTGTTTTTTTTATGCTCGATCATCTTGAAAAAAAAAAAAATTTATTTTAGTTTTTAATTTGTTAAGTTTCTTCCTCGGTATGAATGAGTATAAACAATGAATGTGATTCGTCATTTTTATTATTATTATTATTATTATTATTATTATTAAATTTTTTTTTTTTTAAATAATAAAACAATGGATTTTTATTTTTAATATTCTACATAAATTTTTTACAATTTTCCTTATTGAAATTGAAATGAATGATAAATTTATATTTATTTATTAAAAAAAAAAAACTAAAGAATATTAAAAATAATGACGTCATTTTTTAATAAAAAATGTTTAAAAAAAACTAACCTTGCCCAACGTAGAAAGGATTGTTATCACTCAATAGTAAAATTTATTATTATTAAAAAAAAAAAAATATTAATAAATAATAATAATAATAAATTTTTTTTTAAACAATGGATTATTATTAACACATTTTCACCTTGGTTACGTATTTATATATATTTTTTTTTTATTACGTAGTCGTAAGGACTCAAATACTGCCTTTAAGTTTTTTAAATGTAATTTTTAGAATTTAATAATAGTAAATAAGTAATTTATTAATCGTATTGTATTGTAAAGAAAAATATATTATTTAGGGTGAATCGATAAATGGGCATTCGTAAGGCGGAAAATTTAAATTTAGGCATCTTTCCGCAGAAACATTTGTTTAGTTAATTTAATTTTCCTTTTTAGATAATATTTAACAGTCAACTGGTGGTTGGCATCGGTGAGACACTTGTGATAAAATTGATTTATCGGAAACTTTTCGTGTTTTACATAAAAAAAAACATAACCGATTTGTTGTAAATAATTAATTACAAAATTAATTAATTATTTCCGGCAAATTTCCTACGTTTATTTAAAAAGTTATAAGACTGTGTGTGTATGTGTGTGTTTATTTTTTTAATTTAATTAATAATTTATTAAGTAATCGATAAATTAATTATTTTTCTCAACGATCGTTAAAGTTTTTAAGCGAATGAATCGGTTTTATTATTGTTGTTATTGTTGTTGTTGTTGTTGTTGTGGTGGTGGTGGTTGTTGTTGTTGTTGTTGTGGTTGTGGTGGAGGTTGTTCTTGTTGTTGTTTATTAAAGGTGGTAATTTTTTGTTAGTGTAATAAAAGAAAAACCGGTCGAAATAGTAATTTTTTCTTTTTGTTTATCAATATTATGATTTTCTTATGTATTTATGTACATAGACACAAAAGTATTTATTTTCTTTTTGTAAAATAACAAAAAAAAAAAAAAAAAAAAAAAAGTGGTGGCATTGTTTAGTTAAAAAAAATATTTATGTGACATTTGACAATTATGTCAAATTTTTGGTTCATTTTAAGGACTTTAGTCGGTGTGATTTTTTAAAAATTGGTTCGCGTATGAGGAAGTTTTTACGAGGAATTCGATCGAATAAATTATAAATAAATTGGAATTCCACTCGCAAGAAGGATGAAAATTGTTTAATTTTGTGTTGAGAAGAGAGCAGAAGACGGAAAAGTCGTAATAATAATTTAATACATTGTTCTCCCGTCATCAAAGGAGTCATCATTTAACTAATAAAGAGTCTCTCACACACACACACAATACCATCTTTGATTCTGTACACATGCATTGTCTGCGCCTTATCAGGCCAGTCTTTTCAACCTGTTTCACTTCAGTCATCTCCGATTCAAAAGCCGCGTAATTCTCGCCCAGACAATGGATTCCAAGTAACTATTCATTTCTTTCAATACAAAGTTATTATTTTACTAAATTTAAAATGGCTTTGTGTGACTTAATAAAGCAGAACTTGATGAAAACTTTTCAAAATTAACCAACCTATTCTTTCTTTGTTCGTCATCCATTATATTTTTTTTTTTTTTTCAATCGCAGAAAAATAAAAAAAAAATCCTCTATTTTTCAAAAAAAAAAAATTACAAAAGATATGAAATGGTTTTTTTTTTTTTATTTTTTTTATTTTTGAAACAATAATGATGAATTTGTTTTCTTTTGTTCTTTTATTTTTTTTTGTTTTCAACATTTACGTTTCAAATCACAATGGTGTATAACGCGTCAAATGAAAAAGATGGATGCAAAATGAAAATAGGAGTTTGTACGAGATAAGGTGTATGCGTTTGTCTCATAAGCAATATCAATATTTAATATTTAACGCACGGTGCACGGTTGTTTGCTGTTTGTTTTGATTTTTAAACCCGTTGTTTTTCCGAAAAAAAGAAAAAAAAATTTTCCGATAAATTGTGTTGTTGTTGTTGTTGTTTGTTTGGCTTTACCAATTTCCTCACACGCATATTTATAGTATAGATGTGGCATCATTTGCATTTTTTAAATAAAATTGATGATTAAAAAAGAGAGAGAGAGAAAGAAAGAGAAAAGGAAAAAAAGAAATGGTAAAAAAAGAAAGAAAGAAAGAAAGAAAAAAAAATTTTTTTTCTTTTTTTTTTCCTTCTTTTTCTTCTTTCCCTTTTCATTAGGCTTTGTTAAAGTTCCTAAAAAAAAAAAAAAGGCATAATCGAAAAGTAGAAATAAAGGGAAAAAACCGGAAGACAAAATGAAGAAGACTTGGCATTCTTTGGGGTTACGAACCGTGTTGATGCCATTGTCTACACATAGAACTTAAATAAAAGATCCTTTATTCTTACATCATTGTAGTCTGATTTCCATTGTTATCTTTCAAGATTTTCTCCGCTTTTTCCTCATCCTTTCCAAGTCTCAATTAGGATTCCAACATTTGCTAGAACCTTCATTATTGTCTTTAAATAATTGGTTTTGCATTTTCTTTGAAATCTTATGATAATGTTCTCTTCTAAGTTAACGATTTAAAATGTGAATTTGCAAAAAAAAAAAAAAAAAGACTTGACTGAATAAAATAAAAGACAAAAAGAAAAAAAAATTTATTAATAAACCGAAATAAAAAGAAAAATGAAAATGGATAAAAGAGAGAGAAAGGGAAAGTAAAAAAAAAAAGGAGGAAAAATAAAAAAAAAATTGTGATTTCAAAATACGGTTTGAATTAGAATAAAACCAGGGAGAGATAAAAGTAAGAAAGATGATTCTAGATAAAATGAAAATGAAAAACAAAACCTAACAATGTTAACGTCAAAAGGATAATAATTGAACGGGGATCAATTGACATGAACCAAATATGAATGGATGACGACAACAACAACAACAAACACCACCACCGCACACCATTGTCAATTTGACAACCAAACAAAAGAATTATGTTGGCTCTGAGTTCTTCTCTTTTCGACCATTTTCGGATTCCAGGGTCGGATTTTGCAATTTTATAATGAAAATTTCAACTTTAATTAAACAAGAGAAGAGTTTTACAAAAAAAACAAACCCGTGGTTTTTCCCAACCTCTCAAATCCGGGGGGGGGGTGGTGGGAAAAAACAAAACAAAACGAAAAAAATTATTTTTTTATTAATAATAATAATATTCAAAGGTGAATTATCTTTAATGACATTTTTCCACTTCAATTTTTCATTTTTAGCATTTTGACCTCTCATGATGCCCCTCCTCCCCCTCCTTCTCCCCCCAAATCCATATCTCTATCGTTTTACGTTTGTCGTTATCAATCCCTTTTGATATAGAAAAACCTACAGGAAAAAAAAATTTACAAAATAATTATTTTCTCACTTATTATTATTATTATTATTACTACTAGCTAAGATTTATCAAATTGTCAAGTCACGTTAATGTGAGACGTGTAACGGTTTATTAATGACGTTAAACGATTATAATAATAATAATTATTATTATTATTTATAGCGTCGACGATAATAATAATTTATTTATTTAAATTAATTTTGTTTGTTGAACGCGAAACAACAAACGCGTGCAAACAACATCGTTTAAATCATCAAATCGTAATAATTTTTTTTTTTTTTTCACAGCATAATAATAATAATAATAATGTTTAATAGAGTTACAGGACAAAATGTTTCGGTTATTATTTTTAATAAAAAAAAATTATTAAATTAAAAAATTTATTTTATTAAAAAAAAAAAAATAATAATAATAAACAAACAATTTTTTATTTTATTTTCTTATGATGTTTTGTTAATAAAAAATCCAAACGTTATTTTTAAAATTAATAATTATAATAATAAAATGTATTAAAACGTTATAAAGTTTGGATTTTTTTTTTAATTTTATTAATGTTATTAATCAATAATGAATTTTTAATAATAGATTATTAACATTAAATATATTTGTGTCACATAAAAAAATTTTTTTTTAATAGGATTTTATACGATTGGTTGTTTTATTTATTTGGTTGTTTTTGTTTGTTTGTTTACATTCTTTTAGGTACGACGGTGTAAAAATCACATAGGAAACATTTTTGTAAATCAAATTCGTTTATTTTCCCATAGGGACCCAGTCGATGATATATCGAACGCCTTTCCCAATAATTGCTCAGGTTCATTTGGGGTACGTTCGTCGTTTGAAAAACCGAATATGGATATATGTTATCGAAAACGTTGAGAAGATTTCGTTTTTGGTAAATTATCACCTGAAATGAGATAACATGATAAGGACGGTGGGTGGGTGGGGGGGAGTGCGTTAGAAAAAAAAAAGGATATCACACTTACAGGATCGTTGAAATAATTATCTTCTTCTTCTTCTTCTTCTTCTTGTTGATGATGATGATATTTTAAATTATCCTTATTGTAATTTTCTTCTAAGGATTCGAAATCGGAAGATGCCAATGAACATACACCACTCGTGCTGGCATCACTCGATGGCGATATCGGCCTTTCGTTTTTTTCCTGGCATTCTGATTTTTCCAAAAAATTTTTTATCGTTTCGCCATTGTTTAAATCGTATTCTGTTTCCCCGTAAGACGGCGACGTTTCCATTTTTCCATCCATACTACAAAAAGAGAAAAAACTTTACGATCGTACCCCTCGTTAAAATTTACCCCCCCCCCCGAATTATTATCATTATTATCATGAATCAATGAAATAATATTCGTTTATCATATTTTCACGTTGAAAAATAAAAAAAATTTTAAAGGCAAATTCACGACACAATTATTATTAAAAATGTTTAAATAATAATAATAATAATAAGGTTTTGTTTTCGACTAATTAATTTATTAATTAATAAAATAATAAAAATAATAAAAATTTAATTTATTAACTTACTTCATGTTAAGATAATATTAATATTTTTCATTACTTAAAAAAATAAATATAATTTTTTTTTGTTTGAAACGTTGAATTTAAAATTATTGACAAAAATTAACTGGCTAAACGAAAGGAAATTATGTTTGAATAATTCGTTCAGGTTCGTACCTGAAAATTTAATTTTTTGAAAAATAAATTTGTCGTTTTAATTCGAAAAAAAATTTTTCTCCTAGAGTTTTCTTAAAGTTTTTTTTTGTTTCTTGTTTTGGGGGGAGAGGGGGTTTAATGTTTTTTCTCTATGTACGAATTGTAAATTTTTAAGTGATAATTATTATTATCGAATAATAAAGTCACATTGATTTCATTGATTGTCAATTAAAATGATTGTATGTTTACCTTACGATGATAACGTTTTATTTGAATTTAATTATTTTTAAGGTTTTATTTATTCGAAAAGTGTAATTATTTACGTTGATTAACTTATCGTAAAGTCAAATTTCTGTATTATTATTATTATTAATATTTATTTTTATTTAGGAAGAAATTGTTTTTTATCTCCTCGATTATTTTTCGAGGTTTGTTTTTGTAACGTAAAAAATTTTCATTTAATTTTAAACTGTTTTATTATCAGGTGAAAACGCGCTCTGTCGCCATCTTGGAATTTTCATTTTAAAATGTAACAATAACAAAAGTAAAACGGTGTGTTTTAGTTCGTAAAAAATCCCAAAGATGTCGTATAGCGTTAAAATGGTTTTTAGTTTTTAATTTTGCCGTTACGAGTCGCTAGTTGCGCCCATTAGCAAAACGTTAGAATAAATTTGATGGCGCTCTCAAGCGAGAAAATGTGTAACTTTGCGTAAAATAAAAGTACTTAAATAATTTAACAGATGTCGTTTTAACTGCGATAAAAAAAAATTTTTTCGAAATAAAAAACTAAAAATCGCATGCGTGTGCGTATGTGAGTGCGTGCATGGATGCATGCGTGTGTGTACGTATGAGTGTGAGTGTGCGTGTGCGTGTGCGTGTGTGGGAAACTGTGAATCCTTGGATTGTATGAATATAATAAATTTCCATATGAATGCCTTTGTCAGGAAATGAGTCGCTTTTACAGGCTTCACTTACCATCCCAACTTTATAAAATTTGTTTGATATTACTTTTTCCTCTACAACTTGACATTATTTTCTCTTTTCTTTTCATCTCCTTCTCTATGAAATTTTTATTTTTCACCACTATTAAATTCACATTTAAATTTTTTTTTTTTTTTCATTTTCATTTTCATTTTTCATGAGCACCGATAAAATAAAAAGAGAGAAAGAGAGAGAAAGAGAGAAAGAGAGAAATTTTTGATTTTTATTTTATTTTTTCTCTCGCATTTCATACGTATTTGAAAATTTATTTCCAATCAATAACTAAAAAATTTCATACTGAATTTAATTTCATTATTATTATCATTATTATTATTATTATTATAAATTTTTCAATATTATAAAATTTTGAAGAAAAGAGGGATGAAGAATGACGATTTTAAGAAAAAAAAAAAAAAAAATGAAGAATAAGAAAAAAAAGCAGACACACACGTATACACGCACGTACATGTGGGTCCGAGAGGGTAGTTTTAGTGGGGGAAATTTCGTTAAACAACAAGGGATGCAAACCGCCTACACTTGGGAACCAATCGAATACGTCTGTGCCGTGCCCTCATAGTTTCAGCCCCGGATAGGCCGGTTTTTTTTTTTTTTATTTAATTAGGAAGTCAATCCGGTCTTTTGTTTCTCACAATTCTATTGGCCCCAAACTTCTCACGTGAATTCTATTGCCAGGGGCAAAGAAAAAAAAATGAAAAAAAAAAAAAAAAACTTTTTTTTTTTTTTTTTACGTTTATTTACTCTATGATATTCGTATTTAAAAAGGTCAAATTTTAAATAAATCGACCCGATAATTTTCATGTATTCTAATCAAAATTGTTTTATGGGGAAGGGGTGAAGTGGGGTGGAAGTGGAAAGGAGAATAACGATTTTCTTTTTCGCGAGGGAAAAAATCCGAAAAAAATAAAAATGGCTGGAAATCACTTTTCGTTTACTTTCCTGGAATATTTTTGGACTAAGTTTTTTTAAATGTCATAAAATTAGGGATTTTCCGCTTTGGAAAGCTAAGAAAAAGACGAAAGTTTTTTTTTTTTTTTTTTTTTTTTTTTTTTTTTTTTGGGCTGAGTAACCGACTTGCTTCTGCTTGAAGCTTGAGTAAGGAAATCAATATGGCTTCCGGCGTCGAAAAGCTCGCGTGGATCTCGAGGTGAAATGAGAAAGAAAGAGAGAGAGAGAGAAAGAGAAAGAAAGAGAAAATACGGGAAGGGAAAGGGCGGTTGAGAAATTGTACGGAAAGGGAAGGAAGGAACGGAGACGGTTATGGGGGGGAAGTGGAAATCTAACAGATGAAAGGGGGAAAAGGGAGAGGTTGTAAGGATGCTGAAGAGTGAAAGGAAAATACGGAGATTTGGGCGTACTACCGAGAGAAAATAAGAGGAAAAATCTAGAAGAAAGAAACGTAGAGGAAAAATAAGAAAAAGAAAAAGGAAAAGAAAAAAAAAAGAAGAAGGGATGTATATGAAGAGGTGAGGGTTGAGCTTCATCTGTTTCAAAACGTCAATGTCACTTTACATCTTTTATCAATTTCAACATGTCTCTTGCCATATCCTCCACATTTTTTTTTTTTTTTTTTCATTTTATTATTATTATTATTATTATTTTTACTTTTTCCCTCTCATTCCATTTTCTTTTCTTAATGGTTCTTTAGCTTCCTACAAAATTTTTTTCAAGCAAGCAAGGAAGAAGAAAAAAAAAAACTTTTTCTATTTTCTTTCTCTCTCTTTCTCTCTCTGTATATTTATGATCGAATGAATGATGTCGTGGCAGCAGAATTATTTTTAAAACGTAAAAACAATTAAAATTTTTTTTTTTTTTTCATTCGGTATTAATTATTAAGAATTTTTTTGTATTTTTAAAACCGGAAATAGATAAATCCTTAATATTTACAATAACGAGATATCTATCGAAGATATTAATCGATTAATCGATTTAAAAAAAAAAAAAAATTTTCGTTTTGAAATGAAACAAATCGATCGATGGTTACTTGAAAAAAAATTCGAAAAATCCCTCGCGCGCCAAAAAAAAATCGATAATAATAATGATGATGATGATGATAATTTTATTTAAGAATGGTAAAAATTAATCGATGAAATCGATCGTCTTTTTTTTTTTTTTTTATAAACACAAATAAAAATTTTTTTACTTTTTTTTTTTTTTTTTGTGAAAAACTGGATTGGGGCGATCGGAAACAATCGCGCAGGACCGTATTTTTCGACCAATCCTATTATCGTAATGGCTGAATTCTAATTTAAAATTTTTTCAACGCAACTCCTATATTTTGTTTTCAGACAAGTTTTTTTTTTTTTTTTTTTTTTTTTTTGAGAGAATAATAAAAGTTTATGCGTATACGTGTGTGTGTGATAATCATACATTTCGTAACGTTTTCCTTACGACGTTTAATAATAATAATAATAATATTGCAATTAAAGGAAACGTCGCATTTCATCATAATTATTTTCCCTTTGATAAATTTTATTGGATGATAGATAACATATGTATGGGCAATTTAATTTTCATTTAATTAGGTTTTGAAGATGCGAAAGATTTTTTCTTTTGGGGGGGGGATGAGACGGGACGGTACGAGACGGGGAGGAGGTTTATCACAAGATTGCCAATGGGAAATTGTCAAGTACGGTAAAACGATTTTTGAAAAAAAAAAATTTTCGTTTGGAATAAATAAAAGAATAACAAAAAAAAAAACATTCATCCATTATTATTATTATTCGGACGTATAAAAAAAAAAAATGTCGGTATTTCAGGTTCATTAATTTTAACACGAAAATGTCTTGGAGCCTAAATTTTTTTTTTTATTTTTTTTTTGACTTTTTCGTTTGATTAATGATTAAAAGAGTTTTTTTTTTTTTTTTTTTGCTCACTCATACGAATTTGTTGACATTTGGAACTGGGTAAAATAAAATCGGAAGGGGGACCCAAGGGTGGAAAAACTTCTACTGATGACCTTTCATTGTCCCTTGTGACCAGAGGGAAAATTGTTGATTTTTCTATGCAATCATATTTTCTCACTTGTTTTGCCTTGGAGGTTTCGTATCAACTCCCCCCGACCCCAACTCGTCTCACCCCTTATTCTTTTTCCCTTTATTTCTTTTTTATCATCATCATCATCATCATCATCATCATCATCATCATCTTCACAGATTTCATATGAACTTACATAAAGTTTAATTTTTTTTTTTTTTTTTTTTTTTTTTTTTACGTATACGAGTCACACATTTATAATTTTAATGAGAGGAAGAAAATTATTAAAAAAAACTATTTATGTATGTATACTATATGGAAATACATTCGTTCGTTCGTTGTACGTGTATTTAATTAATAAATGAAAATTTAAAATTTTAAATACACTAAAATAAAATACACACGCACACACACGCACACGCACAAAAGAGGAAAATTTTAGTAAAACGATTTTAATTATAAAAAGGTTTTCTCGTATGTAGGAAAAAAAAAAAAATTAAAAAGTCTTCAAAAGGTATTAAGATGGCGGTGGTGGTGGCGTTGGTAGTGGTTTAGCGGTAGCAAAAGATTTCAATATAGAGGGTGGTTTAAAGAGAGAGTGAGAGAGA